TAAGTCCACCCCCCAGGCCAGGTCAGAGCCAGGATACCTCTTGCCCCTCCTCTGCATGGCTGAATGCCACCGTTCTGCAACTACCCTGTGCCAGATTTGGACCATCAGCTGTATCCAGCCCATGGATAACCTCAGCACTGCACATCTGGCCCACTGGACAAAAAAATGAGCACCAATCATCTACAGATTGTTTGCAACTACCAAGGCTTTTGGGTCTATCTTTAGTTTGCATATCCTATATTTTTTGTGCAAAAAAGTAACATCTTGTTCTCTATAGAGCCAGGGCCACAGTAAATAGCTTAAAGTCAGTTTTAGTTAAGCCTGGTACCCCCCACATGCCCACCCCTTCCTCCAAAGGGGGAAAAAAAAAGGACCATGGATCAGAGCTAAAGCTTCCTTCTCTATTTGAATATATTGATTTTCGGGGGGGATGGAAAGTTTGTAAGTGCCTATGATGTATAAGCCTCTGGTCTGCAGTCTTGAACATCCTCTTATAAACGAACTGCCAGTACCATCCTTGGAAGTGTGTGGGAACAATTTAGTTTTGCATTTATGTATTATCATATTTTTTCAGAACTGGTGTTGTTTTAAATGCTTCCTTCAGTTTGTTAAACTCTTGTAAGGTTTGCATCCTGTGTCCTTTGGATATATATGCATAATAGGACTGTCAGAGTGTTTGTTTGGGCAGCTGGGTTAAAACGTCCCTACGCAGTTTACCATTCCACCAGGTATGTTGGTGATGAGCTGCTTGTGCGCTTTGCTTTGTTCATTTCTAAAGCTTGCTGCTCTACTTGCACAGAATTTTTATTTAACTTTCACTCAGCAGCTCTAATCCTTCCCAAACTGCTCAGACCCATTGGTCAGGCTTTTCTGTTGTTTCAGCAGACTGAAATATTATCTTCGTAAACTTAAGATTTTCTCTTCCACCAGAAACTTCTTACATGTTCTGGTGAAACTTCTCAGATACTGAATACAATCTAAATGGCAGCCTGAGGAAAGTGTTCTGTGATTTGTTATGGCTTAGGGCAGCTGCCAGAATGCTGCTGACACATTGGGCGTAGAAAAATATTTAGCGTTAGTCAGCACTCCCAGAATTCTTTTCTTCATAAGTGGTTGAAAATATCCTACTTATTTAGTTTCTTGGAGTCTCTACCTAAGTGATGGATTATTTCATTTTTAATTTTGTGAGGACAGGTGAGTAAGCACACTGGATCTTCCGCTTGCTCTGTGATTCCCAGACCAATTAATCTAGCTCTTTTTTTAGTATCTGCTTTAGGCAAAAGAACTTTCTTATGGACATGAATTGTGGGTCAGTCTGTCTTTCAAGTATATTCTACATTTTGTTGAGAGTTCTGCTGTCCCTGGAAGGGTATCCTCAGATCTTTTTTTTTCCTTAAACGTTTTGGTCTTCTGTCCTTCCAATGAGTGTATCCTCTTGAAGAGATTACAGGCCCGATATGGTTTGTACTCCAATAAGGGTTACTTACGCATCCCAGATGCTTTCATGTTGATAGTCCAGTCATCTGCTGTGATGCTGTCCATTGTTCCTATGAAGAATTCAGAATTCTTCTGAGCTAGTGGAGTTATTGCCAACGAGGTGTGGCCTCCTTGTCCGCGGTGTGCATGCTTTGCTGACATGTGCAAGCTTTTGTAGGCTGATGTAATCCATCACAGTTCTCGCAATTTGATTTGTATCTAGACACTGTCTTAACTTGTAGTGGTGACTATAGTACTGCAACCCTAAATGCTCCTTTCTTTTAGAGTCTGCTTTCCTCTGTTCTTTCTTCTGTCCTCTGTTCTTTCTCCTCCCCTTTCTCCTGTACTGTCCTTTCCTTTGTTTGAGCTCTACTCACCTTTCTCTTGTGCCTATACTTTTGGATTGTTTGTGTCTGCAGTGTCAGACCATGCACTATCCTGTAGAACCTTCATTTTGTACTTTCTGACTTCCTTTTCTTGGCAATATTTAATTGTTCTGTGGAAGGTTAATTCTGTCTCTTCCAGTCATCTCTCTTGAGTGTTTTGTCTTAGATTTCAGTTGTTGTTTGGTGTCTCATGAGAATCTAGGTGGCCCCCCAAAATTGCAAAATAGAGTTTTCAGTTTAAATACCCATTTCTCATGTTTCTTGTTTTATATGATGTACAGTATGCTTAATAGTCTATAATACAGTTTCCTGGTTAGCCTGTCCTGCCTGA